AGCTTCGACTCCCATACGTTCTGTCAGAAATACAAAAGTCACAAACCATCAGGACTTCGCCCTCCGTAGGCAATTTAAAAACAGAAACATCTCATATTTGCCTCAGTGGCAAAATTCATAAATAAATAAAACAACCGTACACCTAAACTCCAACGATGGCAGTGACGCGTTTACCAGCAACATCCATAACAAATAAAGTAGTTCTAAAGAATACAAAATTTCCTCCGCGGTTCACACCTAGCAATAACATAAATCTCAATGCTACTCGTACCCAACGACCCTTCCCTCTATCCTCTCTAACTAAGCTAGTGATCCTTCCTCGGTCAAGCCCTCTCCACGTCATCACCGCGGTCGACCCTGTTCACACTTGAAAACATATAAGAGTAAAAAGGGGGGTGAGTACATAAGGTACTCCGTAAGTAGCACTTCCTAACTAGCACAAAAATCATGCTCACAGTCACGACATAAAGAATAAAACGATAGCAAGACAATCAAATAAGCAGTGAGAGATAGAAAACAATAACTTGACATTTACATACAACAACCATGCGTCGGAACTACCAAGACCACAACCCATGATTCACTAGCCCTTGTCTCATGGTACTAAACATTCTTCTACACCCCCCCTGTGTTACTCCCCGCTTAACTTCTCGAGGCATGACGGCTCTTGACATTTATTCCCAAGTTACCGTACCCCCTCCTTTTACAGTACTTGATGTTCGACCTTGCCATTTATTCCCAAGGCCTAGCACCACTACTTCGCAAGCACCACTCTACTTTTATCCCTCAAGCCTAACTCATCGAGTCGCACTGACCCTTGATATTTATCCCCAAGGCCTCACTACTCCTCTACAAAAACTTGACGTTCGGCCTTGCCATTTATTCCCCAGGCCTTAACTGTGCACCGGACCTTGCCGTTTATTCCCAAGGTACCGACGACTTCCCAGCGTATTGGTCCTTGACATTTATCCCCAAGACCCCAATACACGTTTACAGAAATTTGACGTTCGGTCTTGTCATTTATTCCCAAGGCCACTACTCAAGGCTCTGAACCTCCAAGCGATTTATATGTATTTTTCAGGTCAGAACACCCATGGTTAACGGACTATCAACCGACCCTTTACCCTTCACCCTTGTCCACTTCACTAACCCTCCCATGACCACCTACAAGTAAACCTCCCACATTATAAATCACTGCACCGTTTACAAGCATGCTTTTCCATGTAATAAACAAAATACATCCAACAGCTCACAACCAGAAAAATATGAATTAAATTATCGGTATAACCACGCTAGCATTTCATTTACATCCCATTTGCAAAACGTCATGAGCCAGTTACTTCTAACTACAACAGTTCAGAACCTACTAGTCACCTACAACAATAAGAACAGGAAGCATGTTTCCTCAAAAGTGTTCAATAATAGAAAGACGGTAACAAGATCGCTAGAAATTTACAAATCAAACTAACAATCCCTACATGCTCATTTAAATTATTTTAACAAGAAAAAGAACAGCATCAAAACCATTCTGTTAACGCTAAATAACGCACACACTCGCCCCCTGGTGCTACTTACACAACCACGTCTTTAAGTTTGCGTCGATCTCACACCTAAGCACCAAAAACAGAAAAATACAGCAATTTAAATGTACTGTTCAGCCATCAAAAACGACTCTACGAGGGTTCAAAGGGCTCATTACCGCAAAACGACTTCGTGTAGGTGTGGGTAAATTAGATCTAGCTTGCAAAGGTATGGGTAGCGTAAATCGGGCTTCAAACGGATGAAGATAATCACCGAACACCCCCAAAACACTGCTGTCCACATTTTTGCAGCAGCGAAAAGTGCCCAAAACGACCTCCACGACTTCGTTTTGATGTCCGTTACTACAAAACAACTTCGCTTAGGTGTGGGTATTCCAAATCGATTTCGTTTGGATGTGGGTAATCCAAATCTAACTTCGAACAAATGTGGGTCAAAGAAAAGTTATGGGGTTTCACGGATCTAAGCTATTCGAGGTTGTTAGACTCGTTG